AATATAAAAATTATATATATATAAAAAATAATTACGGTGTGAATATTTAAATGCAGACAGTTTCCTACAATGCACTATTTGCTCTTCCCCATAGATTCGCGTAGCTGTTTTGTTACAGTAGAGCAGTTAATTAGAATATTATCTGCATCTCACGATACGTGTGTGAGTGTGATGTGTTGCTATTAAAATTGGATGCGTTCTTTGTGGTTTCTTTTGTTCCATTCCAAAAGCAGCGTTGGGTCAATTCGAAAATGCTGCGTTCATAATGGATGATGGTAATTGGTGGTAAGCGCAGGTGATGTGAGGAATTAATTAAAAAAAAAAGAAGAAAAAGAATGTATGTATTTTCGAGAAGGAAAGCGTAAACATTATTTCAGTTGCCGTTCGAAAACCGAAATGCGTTTTCCTTTATTTTTTACGTATTCCCATCGGAAAATCTATATCCAATCGAAGCATTTATATGAAGTTTATAACATATGAGCGAGTATTAATATTGAATTATGCCGCGCGGTGCAGCTGTTACATAAACCAACCGCACCGGTAACCTCATTTTGGCAAACCTCGTGAAGCATATACACATATTATAAATACACACACATAACACGGTGTGAGTGTGTGAGAGAGAGAGAGAAAGATAGACCGTATATTCAGTTTATACGCTTTTTAATATTATTATTGTTATTAATAGCGGGGGCTCCTGGAGAGGTACTAAAAGAAGAGAATGGATAAAAAGGAAATTGTTTCATATAGATACAGTTTTTTTTTATTATTATTATATATTTTTTTTGGTCGGGGTATATTATATTTTTCGAGTGCAATGAGGCAAAACGCACTTTTGTCTGCTAGGACAAATGGGAAAAGGGCGCCTCTGCATGTACATAAATATAATCCGATCGGTAACAAAGGGCGAAGCTACTTTGTATCTGTAATGCATAAAACGAGAAGAGCACCCCTAACTGAAAATGAAAGAGCAGAAAAAGCAGATTGCGTGTGTGTGTGTATGAGAGAGAGAGAAATAACTGGAGCGAGAAGAAAGAGATCCATTTCGGGCTAACAAAAAATATATATATAATAATATGAAAACAGCCCATCTAGTTGCGTAACAATTATACCTTTTTATCGTACACGCACACCTCAAGACCGCATAATTACCATTCAATGCTCATAATAGTAAATAGTATCGTGGTTTATTATCGCAATAATAACTGAATGCCATTCCTATATCATTACAATGCATTGTTTGATCTGAGAAAAACTTCTTGCTATTAAAACAATAATTTTATTTATTATTTATTGCTTGATGTAGAACAATTTAATAATTTACATATGTATTTATTTAATTGATTTTAGATTTTTACTTTAAATCGTCCAAAAATATGTGATAAGAACGTAATCATTTGTGTATGCTTTTGCAATAGAATATTTTACAAAATTTCAATAGAAACCAACATATGTTTATTTCTCTATATATTAAAAATGAATTATATAATATTCATTAAAGTGTAAGCATTAATATTCTAAATTTTGTAATAAAGTAAAATAGAATAATATTAATTTTTAAAACTATATAAAAACATAATAAATCAATTATATCTTATGTATAAAACTATAGTTTCTATAAATTAATAAATGTTTCGTATACTTTCTTGTATAATAATATAAGTATTTACAATTGTATTAATTTAATATTAAATTTGTTGATTTTTATAATTATTCTAAAACAATTTAGTGTAATTAATTAGATTAGACAATTTGTGCAATTTAAATAAATCGTTTGATGCAAAAGCCGCGAAGTGAAATAAATAAAACGAAATTGGTTTTTCATGTAATCCAATTATTGTGAGTGGATTTATCCTTTTTGTCGTGATTGCTTCCGTTGCGTAAAAAGAAAATGCGCGAAATTCACGTGGAAAACGGAAAATGCAGTTACATCCGATTCTCAGACTATGGTTATGAACTAGATCCGAACGAAGATTAATCGTCGTACTTTCTACTGTGCATTTCTAGCCGCAAATTGCGGAAACGCAAGAATTGTGCTAATGAGATAAACATAGTTAATATGTGATTGTTCCCTGGGAGCCGTAGCGACATGTAAAGTAGTCGTTAATTATGAGGATTTATATCATATATCCTGAGTAGAAAGAAGTGAGGCCTTCGAGTGTGTGTATATATCATTTGTGCAGATACGTGTATATTATATATTTTGTGTTGTGATCAAAAGTTAGTTCATTAGTGGAAACCTAACTAATATTTCATTTCGGGCTGTAGACGAGAAGCGAGGCAGCGGATGAAGATGAAGAGGATGAAGATGAGAGATGGAAGAGGAGAGCACGAGAGAACGAGTTGCTAATGGCGGTTGTGAAATAAGATATCAAGACATGCAATGATACCGCAGAAGAACATAAATTTGTCGGGTTCGGTTAATAAGGATTGCGGGGTGGGCCTCGCATTGTGTATTTAATTAGAATGATTCAAACAGTCAAAATACGGCGTTTGCGTGTGCCGTCCTGCTGGTACAACAGAGCAGAGCGGTGTATGATGCAGCGCGGAGGAGGATGCTGGTATTTCGGGCTTCGAGGTTTAAACCCGAATGAATGGGAGAACCCCCAGCAAATACACGAAAACCGTGTTACTACCCACCGGAATCGGAATACAGGAAGCGCATGACGACTGCGAGGGAGACAAATTCATTCAACAGACAGAGAAACCAAATGGAATTCCCTCGGGATGAACCAGACGGTTTCATAGTAGTACTAGTACTACCACTGCACAAACCCGACTCACCCACCCCGCATTCAATGAGAGAGAGTGAGAGTGAGAGAACCTTTTGTGCCACAACCTGTGGATTCCAAATAAATCTCGTCGTCCGCAACAGTTTCCGCAATTCCGTAGGCCCTTTTTCCGCTTGCCGTCGCATCGCGTTAAACGCCCTGCGGCCCCTGAGGCTTCGGCCCCGAAAGAGATTTATACACTGACCCCATATAAATTACACGGCCATTTAATGGCGAAAGGCGTAACTGTCAACTGCATATTTATTTAAGGATCGAAGAGTAGAAGAAGGAGAAGAAAAGAGAAAAAAGTAAATAAAAATGCGCGACGATCTTTGATTTAACGCGCGACCCAACAAAGCGATACACATTTGTATACTTTGTGTGCACCTATTTGCTTAGCGGACGCCAGCAACCATAAAAACGGACCCATAAAAATATTCGCGAACTCGAAAAATGCATCGCGAAAATAACACCGACGAACACGTTTAATAACGAACATTCGGTGGCCGCATCTTTTTTAAAAGCCAGACCAGAAAATAAAAATAAATTGAAGAAGAAAACAAGCCGAAATAAATATAAAACTGCCTCGTTTTTCATGTGCTATTCATTTCCCCAAACGTACATTTCCACTTTACAACTCTTCCCCAAAACAAAACTCATTTCGAATAACAATTAACCTTTTTTAATTGTTTATGAACCGCGCAACTCTTAAATTAACGTTACACAAACTAAACCCATTTATTTATTCAACATATCAACGTGTTATTTTCCCTATTTACTATAATCAACTTCTCATTTAACTCTAACAAGATATTTAGTGTATATACAAAAAAAAAGTATAAATTATGATAATAATTATTTTCCAAACAGGAATAGTTTAATTCTTTTTATATCCAAAATATGATTATATTAAATAATACTCTATAAGAAAAATATTTTGTAGTAATTTGAAAAAATATCAACAATTATTTAAAAAAAAATATATATTTCATATTTTAAAAGGTTTTTTTATATCACTGATATAACATTAAATATATTTTGTAGCAGTAAATATGAAATAATCACGGACTTGTAAAGCATACAAACTATTAAATTAAGCATTTCGAAAGTATAAACGTTATAGAGAAAAAGGTTAAAATAAGAAGAAAAACAAAATTTTCACAGCGATTTGATCGCTATTAACTTGAAGCAATTTAATGCCGACTGAAATTAATTAATTAAATTAAAGTAAATCGTGGAAAAAGCGTTGGGCTTGCCCACATCTAGATTTCTAAATTTACAAGTTACACTTGAGATTAAATATCAATTTATCTCGGAAATTAACCGTTCGAACGAGTATTTGCCTGGAAAACGAGCGCATTTCTTCATCAAGACGAAGACGGAGGATGCATTAAAAGGAGAAAACAACAAAGTGTAACGTTAAATATATTAAGCGATTTTACGACAAATTAATGAAGCGTAAAATAATTAAAAAGAACTTCTGATCTGCGAGCAGAATCGAGATAATTATGAGATCGGGTAGCTCGAGGTACAAATTAATACCTGAAAACCTGCCCTTCTATTAATAATTTATAGTGAATAACAACATTTCTCATTCGCATCTTCGATATATGCGGCGCGCATTCTCCGTAATTAAAATAATCTTTATTTCAGTGGAAATAATGCGACAGTGAGTTGTTATTATCAATTTTTTTTTAAGTGTTATCGAGTTATTAGTGGATATTTCATGGGTTTCATTAAAACACTTTTCGTATTGTTTTTCTTGTGGCGTGGGTTGTGAAACTGCGGTAATAAATAAATGCGATAATTATAATATTTCGGGTGTTGAGATAATGCAATGTATCCAATATATTCGATAAAAACAAGCAATAAATGTATTAGAAGAGCGAAACAATATCAAATAACAATTAAACACCTGTGTTTGTGCTGTCTCTTATCAATGTAATATTTAATAAATTACACACGTAATAAAACGGCATTCGATTGTAATAATAACATTCCGGGTTTTTGGCGGAATGGGAATGAGAAATATTGATTTTCTTCGTGTGAGATTAAAAAGGAACGAATTCGGTTGCTGCTGTTGCTGGATGATTCAGTTAATGCGTATGCAAGCGAGGGAGATGAAAATCCCCCTTGTTTCATTGCAATTAGAATCGTTTCGAGGAGGGTCGGAGATGCCGATTGCTGGCCTAGTTACATAACAACATAACGTAATGCTCAGACACGTACCTGGCTGTGGTGCAGTCTCTGTAGAGGGTGTCGAAGTCTTTGCAGGAGAGCAGCTTGCAGCGGTTGACTCCCGGCTGGATGGCGCCGAGTCCTCTAAGGATTCGCACTTGTTCCACGTTGCAGACTAAGGGGACGATGTCGAGGCGCTTGAGCTTCGTGTAAACTGTGTGGAGGCCGCCGACCAGGTGCTTGAGGAAGAGTTCGAAGGCCTGCGGCAGACACAGCATCGTGTCGCCGGCGATTATGAAAGCGGCGACCTTTTGGCCGCGGTAATCTACCAGTTTGCACTCGTTGGCAGTTGGGTCTGAGGTGGAGATCGGCGGCGGACTGTTGTAGGAACGCGGTGGACCGTGGTGAGCCATCAGGTCTAGGGGATTGTGCAAAACACCGAGTGAGTTCAGGAGTCCGAGACCCGGGGGATGAAGATGGCCAAGACCCATGCTTCTGACCAAATTGGCTGTGGACACCGGCGGCGGACTTAGTGGATGTGCCATGGACATCGGAGGACCTAGGGGACTGGCTTGACGCGGACTGTGCACTTGATTGTGGTTATTGTTGTTGTTATTGTTGATTGGAGAGGATGGTGGTTTGACGGCTACAGCCGGGGATCCGGAAGACGCGTGGCTACTATGATCTGAGTCCATTCCCGTATTGTCCATCATCGCGCGCTACGCACTCCTCGTCAAGAGATCAACACACTTCAAAAGCACTGCACATATACGGATGGTTACAGGGAGACGAATACTTCGCAATCTATTCTATCACTGACTGGCCTTTCGGAGAAGAGTGTTGCTTCGAAGGGGACAGCAAAAGACAGTTACAGATACAGTCGTGGCAACTGGAGTGAACAGATGGATCTGTAATAGTCTCTGTAGCTGTGAGGGTGATTCCGATTGTTTGATTGTCGGGCGGGGCGGTGCGCGCTCACCAACCAACCTGGAGGAAGCACGGACACAACCGGTACACTCGCAGGATACAAATGTAATAAATAAAAACATTTCGAAAAACTGATGCAAGTGTTTGGAGGCGGTCGCAGCCGCCTGTCACGCCCTCCGACTTCCATTGGTCGCGGCCGGGTGACGCTCCTCTCCCATTGGCGCCCCACCACTCACCGACGCCTCGCACCCGAACACGCCCCGCGCTACTGGAAGAACTTCGTTTCTTTGTAAGTCCTCGAGGGCGGATGCAGGAGAACTTGAAATATGAGTTGTGACGTATTGATAAAGAATGTCACCGGCCTGTCGTTGCGGAATCAATACATAAGGTGCGGTATGGATACATTAGAAAAACTTCCATTCCTCCTCTTTCTTTTTCCTTCACTAACTTGCAAAAAAAATCGCCAAATTTACTAAAATTATCTGTAATTTGCATAAATCTACAATATTTATTTTTCAACTATGCTTTAAATCTAAAAAAAAATAAAATAAATTCCACATAAGATTTAATTATTAATAGCAAATTAAT